TCGGAGCAACCTGGGCTGGTGGGAGGTGTCCCTGCCCAGGGCAAGGGGTGGAACTGGATGGTCTTCAAGGTCCCTTCCCACCAAAACCATTCTGTGATTCTAATATCATATCATATCAGATCATATCAGATCAGATCAGATCATATCAGATCAGATTACGTTATTCTTAAAGGCCCTTCCAACCTAGAGGATTCTACGTTATGTTACGTTAACTTATATTAAGTTATATATTTTGTATAAAATATAAAAATTGAAAATACATAATTTTAGCTGATACAAAATAGATAGTTTCTTTCTATTTTGTATATAATATAGAATTATAGAAATATTACGTATTTTGTGTTTAATGTACATCTATAGAGTATATTTTGAAGTATTTTTGCTGGGACAGGGACAGAGCTGGCTGGGGCACAGCTGGATGGGATAGGGAGGCAGATGGAAGGGGCACAGCTGGATGGATGGGGCACAGATAGATGGGGCACAGCTTGACAGATGGGGCACAGTTGGCCGGGGCACAGACACAGCTGGATGGGGCACAGCTGGGTGGATGGGGCACAGCTGGATGGGGCAAGGCTTGACGGATGGGCCACAGCTGGATGAGGCACAGCCGGGAAGGGCAGGGAAACAGCTGGATGGGGCACAGCTGGATGGATGGGGCAGATGTCATTGGGGCAGGGGTGCAGCTGGACAGGGCACAGCTGGACAGGGCAGGGGGCACAGCTGGATGGATGGGGCGTGAGCACAGCTGGATGGAGCACAACTAGATGGGGCACAACTAGATAGGGCAGGGGCACAGACGGATGGGTGATGGCTGGATGGAGCATGGGCACAGCTGGATGGGGTACAGCTGGATGGATGGGGCAGATGTCACTGGTGCAGGGGCACAGCTGGATGGGGCACAGCTGGATGGATGGGGCAAATGTCATTGGGGCAGGGGCACAGCTGGACAGGGCAGGGGCACAGCTGGATGGATGGGGCAGATGTCATTGGTGCGGGGGCACAGCTGGATGGGGCACAACTGGATGGGGCACAGCTAGATGGGGCGGGGCACAGAGGGATGGGTGATGGCTGGATGGAGCACGGCGACAGCTGGATGGGGCACAGCTGGATGGATGGGGCAGATGTCACTGGTGCGGGTGCACAGCTGGACAGGGCACAGCTGGACAGGGCAGGGGCATGGCTGGGTGGGGCACAGCTGGAGAGGACAGGGGCACAGCTGGACAGGGCACAGCTGGGTGGAGCACAGCTAGTCGGGGCAGGCTCACAGCTGGCTGGGGCACATCTGGGAGCGAACAGAACCATCCCAGCCC